TTCTGCTTTGCCTTCTTGTTCTAGAACTTCAGAGCAATTTTCCTTGATAATTTCTTGTAATTTTGTATGAAGATTCTTTTTTTAATTGTAATTTTCCCATAGTCCATCGATTCTTATATTATTTTTCCTTGATCTGTTCTCCAGATCAGTTGTTTTTCTGATGACATGTTTCCTTTCTCTTTTATTTTTTTCATTCTTTGATTTTGTTTTATTATTTCTTGGTGTCTTAGAACATCATTAGCTTCCCCTTGCCCAGTTCTAGTTTTCAAGGAATTATTTTCTTCCTTAAGTTTTTGGTTCTTTATTTCAAGTTGATTGGCTTTTCAAATTTTTCTTGATTTTTTTCTATTACTCTTTTTTTTTTCTAATTTTTCCTTAACCTCTCTTATCTGATTTTTAAAGTCATTTTTTAAGTTCTTCCAAGAACTCTTTTTGTGTTTGGGACCATTTGACATTTCTCATTGAAGAAGTATTCTCACCATTAAGTATGGTGCCATAGGTAGATTTTCCTTAATGTTTACATCACAACACTGAACCTAGGATCCAAGTCTCCAAAGCCCCTAATCATAGTAACCACTGTCATTTATTTCTATGACAACCCGGAGGTTTGCAAAGTGATTTACCTGCATTCTCTCATTTGGGTCTCACAACAGGTGAGGAATCTGGTGTTTATTTTATGCCCACTTTAAAGATGAGAAACCATGGTCCCATAGAGATTAAATGACTTGCCCAAGGTCACATGGGGAGTAAGTAGGAGAGCAGATGATACTGTTGTTGTTATTTGTCCTTGGTTTTCAAAGAGAACCAAGGACGTCGCTAGATTTGAACCTAAGTCCTGCTGTTCCAAATCTGGCTGCACTCTCTCTAGTGACCCATGCAGCCTCTCCAAGGGTGGGCAGACTGCTTCTAGGAAATGCAAGCTGTGTGGAAGGAGATTAACAGACAGTGGGAAGAGCACCCCCAGCGCTGTCACTTAAAATGCCTGGCTAACCTTAGGCAAGGGGGTCACCTCTCTGGGATCCAGTTTCCTCCCCTGGAATAATAGTAATAATAATAACAATTAATAACTAACATTTATATAGTACCTACTATGTGCCAGGCATTGTACTAAGCACTTTACACTTGTTATCCCATGTAATCCTCACAACAACCTTGGGAAGTAGATGCTATTATTATCCCCATTTTACAGATGAGAAAAATGAGGCAAACAGAGGTCAAGTGACTTGACCAGGGTTACACAGCTAGTCAGTGTCTGAGGCTGGATTTGAACTCAGTTCTTCCTGGCTCCAGGTCTAGTGCTCTATCCACTGTGCCCTCTATCTAGCTGCCCTCATAAAATGAGGGGAATACACCAAATAGTCTCCCAGGTCCTTTTTAGCTTTAAAGCTACAAGCATATGTGACCATGAGCAAGTCGTTTCACCACTGTAGGCCTTAGTTTCCCCATTTGTAAAATGAGGAGGTTGGACCACATGGCCTCCCAGGTCCTTTCCAGCATGCATTTTAAAACTATGATCAGATTGTGACTTTGGGTGAATTACTTCATATCCCTGGGCCTCAGTTTCCCTGTCTGTAAAATAAGGGAGTTTGACCGGATGTCCTCTGAGGGCCCTCTCAGCTCTAGGTTCTATGACTGTCTGACCTCTGACAACCCTGACTCCCAGGCAGGAATGGGTCCACGTTTTTGTTGTTCCCTATTTACTCACAGGCCTCATCCCCCAGCCTGGAGTGACATCCACAGATGGGTGTGTCTCACAACTGCTTCTTCTCTGTCCTCTGCCCCCAGGCTTTTTTCACGGAGAAGTACCAGCAGGAGCACCCAGAGGACCAGGAGAAGATTGAGCTCCTCAAACGCCTGATTGCCTTACAGGTATGTACCCAGAGACGGCTGTTTTCCAGAGGAACAGCTTCTGGTGGTCGGGGAATCCCATCCAGTGGACCAGCCTTGAGCCCTCTGTGGAGACCTCAAAGGACTGGAAGGCCCTCGTCAATGGCAGAGTGAAGGGTGCAGAGCCTGGAGTCAGGAATGGCTATTGGCCATTAGAGACCCGAGTTTTAGACCCAGCAACAGTGTGTTTGTGCCCACTGTCGAGTTTCATTGAATTATAATTTGAGACAGCCATGCTCTCATGTAATCTCCCCATAGGTGCTACTTCTTCAGTTCACTTTTCCCTGGCATGAAAAAAGTCACCTGTAGTTAAAGAGCAAAATCCTAGTGGGAGGGAGAGGCATCAAGCAGACCTGAGTTCAAATCCTGCCTCAGGCACTTACTAGCTGCGGGACCCTGGGCAAATCACTTACCACTCTCTGCCCCGGTTGCCTTATTTGTAAAATGAGGAGGCTGGATTGGGTCCCTGAGTTCCTCTCGAGCTCTTCATCCGTGACCCTTTGGTAGAGTACGTGATTCGGAACTGGACCCTGTTTCATCCTTTCATTTGGCAACCCCCATTCTTCACCTTGCCCCCTTCCCTGATCCTGTGTTCACTTCTCCAGATGCCCCTACTTGGAGAAGGCATCCGAATTCATGGGGAGAAGCTGACAGAGCAGCTGAGGCCCCTGCATGATCGGCTGACCACCTGTTTCCGGGAGCTCAGGGAGAAGGTGGAGAAACTCTACGGAGTCATAACCCTGGTAGGCTTCGTCTGAGAACAGGACAATCTTAGCACCCGACCTCCAAGCTCTCTAGGCTAATTTCATGCCAATCCCCCAATTTCCCTCTTTTTTTTTAGTGTTTTATTAATGCCTTTATTGCTTTCTAAGAAATTTTATTTATATCTTTTTTTATACATCTTTTGTTTTCACCGCATAGATTTCGTCATGTATCTCTCATCAGTTAAAAAAGAGAGAAACAAGAAGAAAAAAGTTCAGTAATGCCAATCAATATATAGAAAAAAGAATGGATGTCAGTATGCAGTGTTACACACACACATGAGCTGCCCCACCTCCCACTTCTCCCCTTTTCTCATATCTCTTCTGTGGGGCAAATCTTGACCTTTCTAATTTCACAGCATTAATTTTTTTATTGTATTTTACATTTTCTTTGTTATAGACATTTTGTATATTGTTTTTCAGATATTTCTCCCCATAGTTGTAAACAACTTTAACTCTTAGTCTCTTTCCTTTCACTTTTTCCTCCCTTCCTCCCTACTGGCCTTAGGAGACCCCCTTTCCCTTCCTTCATTTCAGACTCTAGCATGGTTTTTTCTTGTCCCCTCCAATAATTACAGCATGCCTAGTGCTTAAGACAGTTTAGTTTCTTATTTCATGTCTTTAGCTTCTAAGCTCTCATATCTATGTATACTCAAAAGTTCATAGAATTTTTAAAAAATGTTTTAGTCAATATATTTTGTTTTTGCATCATTTCCAAATATATCTCTCCCCCTTGTCTCTTCCCTTTGTTAGACATATATTTTAGACATATTCTTTGTGACAAAGAATAAAAAAAAAACCAGGTAAGAAATGTTCTGCAAAACTAGTCACTACATTTCTACCTGAGTGACCTTTGAAAAATCATAACTTAACTCTAATTTTTGTCATCTGTAAAATGAGGGGTTTGGATGTGATGACCTCTAAGATCCCTTCTAAATTGATAACTCTATTTTTAATCATACAGTGAGTTCAATACTCCATAGCCAGTCAACAGCCCTCTGTGGGGTAGCAAAGAACAGGAAATAAAGTGGGTACCCAGGAATAAGGGAATGGCTATAAACAGACTGTATTGTGAAAGTAAGGAAATATTATTGTATGGTAAGCAATGAGAAACGTGCAGAATTCAGAGAAATGTGAGATTTTTCTGAATGGACACAAGGTCAAGTAAGGGGAACAGTAAATACAGTGACTACAATAATGCAGATGAAAAGAATGCTGGAAGGTATGCCACCTCTGAGTAATTGCAATGACTAATCCTCGTTCCAGAGGATCAGTACTAAAACTGACCTTCTTCCTCTTGGAAGAAAGGCAAACACCTTCGGGTGAAGAATGTTGCGTGTACTGGCATATGTCATTCCCCTAACAGCTGTCAGCTTAACTGACTTTCTGGGTTGTAACTAAGAGCTCAAAGGAGACTATATGTTTGACCTAATGGGGCCTGCTGGCCCTTCTCAGAAATGTGCAGTGTATTCAAGCAAGCTTCACAAATAGGTATCTGGAGACGAATGACAATCAGGTTACAATTTCTACTTACAACATCCTTGATTGAGTATAGCCTGACTTTTTTTCCTATTGGAGACAGTTGTTCCTTTGTTTCCAAAGCTGTAACTGAAGGGACTCCATCACGATAGCTGGTGTCCAACATTCTTCCTTTCTACCAGTATTCATTAAAATACATTTGGAAGAAGCAGGACTGGGAAACTTTTAAGGTTTGACCAGCTTGTTTTGTTTATGTGTTACTGATTTTTTAAAATTAATTTATTTTAAACTTAAATACTACAACTTGAATACGCAAGAAAAGAAAAAGAAACATAAATTGAAATACAAAATAAGAAACAAATGCATTGCCATATGCACAGCAGAATGTGAGAGGATTCAAAATACACAGTAATAAATTTCCATTTCAAGAAAGCTTATGTAATAAATACTATGCATTGTGCTCAGAGCTGTCCATCTTTTCTTTGCTTCTTTCTCAGTTTTCTTTTGTTCTCTGCTGTGCACTTTTTACTTTATTCTTTTTTTTCCCCTTCTTCACCCCCACCCCAAGAAGGCTACAATTAAGCATGGACATATATAGATGCACATATGTATGTGTGTGCATACATGTGTGTATGTACATGTGTTTGTATGTATGAATACATGCACATGTATGTATGCACATACATATTTGTGTGTGTGAACCTATATACACATACTTACATAAACATGTATACATAAATATACATACACACACACACACACTTACTTACACATACTTAAATATCTGTAATTCTACTCATATAAAGATGTATACATTGATGCTTTTTTGTACTTTCCAGTCACTATCCTACCATACAACCCCACCTTTTAACATAGAATAACAGTTAAGCTCAGCACGATGACACATTGACTACACCTGGCAGGGTATGCCACATTCCCCACCCGTAGGCCCCCACCTCTCCACCAAGAGCAGGAAGTGGGCTCACCACCATCAATCCTCTAGAATCACGATTCGGATCCAGGCTCTTGCTGTTTCTCCCTTCCCCTTTTCCTGGTTTTCTTCCATGGAAGGGATGCGTTTGCTTCTGTTTTTCCTCTCCTTGGCACCTCCTGGAAGTTGACCCAACTGTCCGCCTTGGATGCTGAGCTGAGTCTAACGCAGACTGTGCCCATAGACCTGCTTTCTTATGCTCCTCAGCCTCCCACCTTGACCGAGAGGAAACAGAGCAGGACGGGGTCGGTGGTGCTGCCCTACATCATGTCTTCCACCCTACGGCGACTGTCCGTCACATCGGTGGCGTCCTCGGTGGTCTCCACGTCTTCCACCTCCTCAGATAGCACCCCCTCCAGGCCAGGATCCGATGGGTGAGTAGAAACCGGGCCTTTGGTCACAAAGACTGTGAATCGATCGGTCCCAGCCACTCCCCACTGAGGAGAAAACAACAAGGTGTGCCCTACTTGGGCTGCAATATCATCTTATTATTATAAAGAATCCTCCTAAGACACACATCTGACGATGTTACTCCCTCCCCGAGAAGTTTCAATGGCTCCCTATTGCCCCTAGGATAAAACTTGGGACCTGAAGCCTTTTGCAACCTGACTCCCACCTACCTTTCCATGCCTGTTTCTTTTATTTTTTAAATTAACAAAAAGCTATTTTCTCTTCCTCCCACATTCCTCCCTCCCACTTAAAAAGACAAAAACAAATGTTCATAACATTCTTATTTCACTTTATATCCCTCCGAGGACTTTAGGTTCCAGCCAACGGTCCTATTTGTTGTTCCCTATGTGGAGAACTCTTGCCTGCCTTCATGCCTCCGTCCCCCTGCCTGGAATGCTCTCCCTCTTTATCCTACTCCTCGCATCTCTAGTCTCCTTCTCAAGCACCGTCCCCTGCATCAGGAATTCTTAACATTTCTGTGTTATGGACCCTTCAGCAGCCTAGGGAAACCTCTGGACCCATTCTCAGGTTCCTGGCTTTAAAAGCATAAAATAAAATATGTGAGATTACAAGGGAAACTACTAGATTGAAATGTAATTATCAAAATATTTATTAAAATTCTTAAAAGAAGTTCGCAGGCACCCGGTTGCATTCCCCTGCTCTACAGAAAGGCCAGCTGTCTTGGTAATGCTCTCTCCTTCCTAAAATTACCTTCCATTTCCCTGTGTCCATGTTACAGCCTCCTAGAAGAGTATAAGGTCCTTAAGGGCAGGACTTCTTTTGGGTCTGGGTCCCCTTTGGCACAGTGCCTAGCACATAGTATTGTTTTTGTTCAGATGTTTCACTCGTGTCCAACTCTTTGTGACCCCATTTGGGGTTTTCTGGTCAAAGACTCATCTTCCTAAGTTCAAATCCAACCTCAGACACTTACTAGCTGCGTGACCCCGGGCAAGTCACATAACCCTGTTTTCCTCAGTTTTCTGATCTGTGTCTTTGACAAGAAAAACCCAAATGGGGTCGTGAAGCACTGGACATGACTGAACAACTGAACAACCACCACAGAAGTCACAAATAGCAGAACCAGGTCCTTTGACTGCAAATTCAAACTCTTTCCACTGCGTCATCTGTCCTTCAGCGGTGATACGGTCAAGCATTTTCGAGAGGCAAAACAGCTTAAAGCATAGAGTACTGGACTCGAATCAAGAAGCCCCGAGTTCAAATTCTGCTTCAGACACTTCCTAGCCTAGTCACCTAACCTCTCAGCCCCATTGTCCTTATCTATAAGGCAGGAATAACAGCAACACCGTTTCACATGACGGTCGTAAGGATCAATGAGATGTCTTGGGAAGTTTTAACATGGCATTGGATCACGGATATCTAAGTAGGAAGGGACCTCGAGGGACAGCGGGGCCCACCTCCTGCCTGGAGAGGGAAGAAGCTGGCCTCAGTATTAAGTACCAAGCTATGGGTCCTGTGCTGGAGTTTGTTTTCTTTTCTCTCAAGTGAGAATGAGCCTGGGTAGGATTAAGAGAAGCGACAATAAGAGTTATAAAAATGCCTGACATTTCTTTTGTACTCTATAATTTTCTGATTGTTTTTCTGAATCGTTCTCCCCGTCTGAGTCTTACCACCATCCTCCCATGTAAGGGAAGACAAGGCTGATGACCCCTGTTTCATAGATGAGCAAAGATCCCACGGTGACTTATTAGCAGAGTCAGGATCAAAACCCAGGCCTTTTGGAGTATTTTTGTGGGGGAGGCAATCAGGGTTAAGTGACTTGCCCAGGGTCACACAGCTAGTAAGTATCTGAGGCTAAATTTTAACTCAGGTCCTCCTGACTGTAGGGCAGATGCTATATCTACTACACCACCTGGCTGACCTCCTTTTTGAGTATTTTTCTGCTACATGAATGAAATACAGAAAGTTTAAGACAACTTGGGGTTGAATTAAATCAATTCTATTAATTTAGTTAATTAGCTAATGGTAATTATTAATTAGCAAACATCTATTAAGCACCTGCTATGTTTAAGACACCATCACTCCTCATATGAAAGATCCTTCCCTCAGGTCGATGGTCATCAGGGAGAGTGACCTGGGATTTGGGGACAGGAACAAATAATGAGATTGTGTCCTTTTGCCTGGGCGCCAGATCCATTCTGGAGCCCCTGTTAGAGCGGCGGGCTTCATCGGGGGCCAAAGTGGAAGACGTGTCCCTCAGAGAAGACAGTGATAATCGGATCAACAAGTTCAAGCGGAAAGACTGGAGCATTAGCAAATCTCAGGTCATCGCAGAGAGAGAGCCGGAAGCTGACCTGCTGGTAAGTCACAGTGGGCATGGACCCCAGCTTCTCTGCAGGAGCCAAATTCTGGGGTCAGGGAGGGGACCTTGTTGGCCCTGACTTCCAGTTAGAGCCCGGACCACAGCTCCCTTCCAAATGTGCCTACCGGCAGCTTAGGAGAGACCAAGGGACCTACATTCTGCCCCCTGAGAGCTGGGAGCTCTTTGTAGACACCAACTCCAGGCTCTCACGTCATGGTATCAGCCAGTGGGCCCATGCCTTAGCCTGTGGTCCTTTGCGTTACTGCTCCATGACTCGGTCCCCAAACTCCATCTCTTAACTGGGGCCAGGCGAGGAGGGGGGAAGTAAAGGATTTCTGTGGTTATTTTTTATGAGCCACTTTGGGCTATGTCTGGCAAAGGCAACCCTTCCTGGGGGGAAAGGGGAATCTGAATGATGCAGGCTAGAAAGAACACCAGATCGTGGAGTCAAAATGAGACCGTAAACTTAGAGCTTGAAGCAATTTTAGAGGTCCCCAAATCTGCCCCCTTATTTTATGAGGAAACTGAGGCTCTGAAAGGTTAAGCAGTGGAGTCACAGAGCTGATAAGGATCCAAGGGGGCAAGATTTAAACTCTGGTATTCTTAAAACTGAGTCCAGTTCACTGTACACTACATCATAGACCTCTAGACCTGGAGTCAGGAAGATCTGAGTTCAAATCCTGCCTTAGGCATTCTCTAGCTGTGTGTCCCTGGGCAAATTACTTAACCTCTGTATGCCTCAGTTTCCTTATCTGTAAAATGAACCGGGGTGGATGAAATAGCCTCTGCCACCCCTTCTCGTTCTAAACCTATGCGCCTTTGGTCTATGAAGACTCCCCTGAACATCCATTGATGTTCACTGATCCTCTGAAAGACCGCAGCCATTCTCTGACTCCGCTCCATTGTATGCTTTGGTTAGGGAGTGAAAGCCTTTGATGTACCCGCCCCTCTCCATCACCTCTCTTGTCCAGATACAAGTGCTTAAGGATGGAAAACATTTGGCCTCCAAATTGGGGCTTTATCCCTCCTTCTGTTCCTTGTCTTTTCCTTCCCTAGAGCCCTGCTAGCAAAGTACAAAGACCCAAGAGTCTCCAGTTAGTGGACAGTCGGCTGACCTTGTTCCAAGGCTCCCCCCTGCCTTCCTCTATGCCCCTGAACCCGCCTCCGCTGACCCCAAAAACACCCAGGACCCAAAGTAAGTTCTCTTCACTCTCATTATTTCAACTCTTGGGGACAGAAGAACACAGTCCTCCCTGTCCCTGGATGTCTGTGCTGCATCTGGGTCTTCTAAACTTGCTTGGCGCATTGGCAGCAGGTACAGAAGGAAGAATAATAGTAACAGCAACAGGACCTTCCATTTCTATGGTGTGTTCAGATTACAAAACTCTTTGATAGCCATTAACTCATTTGACACTCAAGCCAAAGTTGCCTTTGACTTTTTGGAGAGGCATTATCCAAGAGAAAGAATAGTGGAGTCATGAGTCCTGGTTTCAAATCCTGCCTCTGCCACTTACCCCATGTATGATCTTGAGCAGATGGGCCCCTGTTTCCTCATCTCTACATAACGGTATTGGACTTGAGGATCTCTGAGTCCTAAATCTTTGATAACTCTGATCCTTCTTTCCCTTCTCTCCTCCAGTCACTCACCAAGTCCTGGGCACTTTCTCACTTGTCCCATTCATTCCATTCCTACCGTCTCCACTTTTGTACAGGCCTGCATTATGTAAGCTCCTTGAAGGTAGGGAATGTTTCATTTACAGCATCTGTATCCCCAGTGCCTAGTATGGTGCCTGGCATGGTGCCTCGCACGTAGCAAATTAATTAATTAATCATAGCTAATGTTTATGTAGCACTTACTACATGCCAGGCATTGCAATAAACACTTTACAAACATTATTTCATTTGATCCTTACAAAAACGCTACATTTTACAGATGAGGAAACTGAGACTAAGTGATTTGCCCAGGATCATGCAACTAGTAAAGTGCTTGAGGCCAGATTTGAACTCAGGTCTTCCCGACCCCAGGCGCCACTCTATCCGCTGTACCACCTAGTGGCTTACAGATTGATTAATCTCCCACTTTAAACTATTTCACTAAGCCCTCCACTGGTCTTCCTACTTCAATTTAATTTAATTCAACTATCAATAAATCAAGTATTTATTAAGCCCTTACTATGCACCAGGCACTATGCAGAGGACTGGGAATACAAGTACAAAGAATGGAATAACCCCTACTCTCAAGTAGCTTAGTAAGCCCTTACTATGTGCTTGGTACTGTCCTGATCTCTAGGGATACTTCCCTTCCGAGTGAAGTTTACATGGCTTCTCTGGCCATGCTGTCCAGTCTGATGCCTCACCCTGCTTGGTCTCTATGCACTCCTTTCCCTGTGATGTCTAACCTCCAAGCATTTGCTCACACTGCTTCCTGTGCCTGGAATGCCCTCCCTTGCCTTCTTCCCTCTTGAACTTTTACCTCTTCTTTAAACCCCAACTTAAGAGCCACTGGCTCCACGAAGATTTTCTTGATTTCTCCGACCGCTATCAACTTTTCTCCTCCTAAACTTTTTCTAAAACTTGGCTTATGTATCCCCAATCCACAGGTCATGTATTATTATTACTAATTTTTTTATTATGACTATCTGTTTCATCTACCCTTACTCTCTAAGGATCAGGATGCTCTCCTTTTTGAGTCTCCCAATATCTAACATGGTACTCTACACACAGTAGGCACTTAATAAATGTCTGTTGAGCCAAATTGAACAATCTTGTAAATTTAGGCAGCATAGGTATCATTCTCCTCATTTTACAGGTGAGGAAACTGAGTTTCATAGAAGTAAAAAGACTTGGCCCAGATCACCTTGCTAAAAAGTGCTGAAACCATAAGCATTCTTGTTGGCCAGCTCTGTTCAGGTTCAATTTTAACAAACAAATGGAGAGCAGAGTACTAGCTTGGGAGTTTTCATGGAGATGAATGGAAAGGAATCTTCAGAAGGCCAGTACCAAGGCTTGAATCTCCATACTGCTTTTCTCCCTATTTGACTTTTTGGTTCCCATCCTTTCCAGGCTCTCCAACCTTGCAGGTAGATGGGCTGATGTCTTCTGGTACAAAGACAGTACCACCCCCACCCCCTCCCAAGAGCAAGCCCTATGAGACCAGCAGCCAGAGGAACTCAGCGGAGGTAGGGGATCAGAGTGATGGTTCTTGCTTCACTGGCCAAGTAGTTTTCTAGGCTGCTTTGAGAAGAGACAGTCCTACCTGAATGGCTCCTGTTTCACTTCTGGAACGAGCAAGCAGCCTTCTTCTCTCATTGAAAATAGAGGCCACGTCACCCATCTTCTCCTCAAGACAGGGTGGGATGAAAAATGGGTCAGGACCCATGACTTGATGGATTTGGGGGAGCTCCTAGTGGGGAAATCCCCTCTCCTGGTGCAGATCAGCAATTATGCTGAAGCTTACAATATTGGAGAATTGCCTAGGTCTCTGAGTGGTTAATAGTGAATAAATGAATGAATGAGTGAATGAATAAATGAATGAGTGAATGAATGACATTTATTAAGCATTTACTATGTGCTCAAAACTAGGGATACAAATATAGGCAACCAGGATAGCATCTGCCCTCAAGGGACTTACTCTATCCCAGGAAAAGAAAAGAGACGTACAAAGGAGAGAGGCAGGAACCTCACATGGCGGCTAGGTTTGATAATGCCTGCTGACTAGTGTGGAACCTTGGTTCTGTTCAAGATAAGACAGAAGCTCATCAGTCAGAACAAAACTAATAACAACAATTATGATGGCTAACATTTATGCAGTGCCTTATAGTTCACAAAGCCATATATGTGTGTGTTCCCAACCTCGTACCGTCTGTGTGACCCTGAACCTCTGTCTGCCTCAGTTTTCTCATCTATAAAATGCAGGTAATAACAAGTGAGATAAGAGTTATAAAGCACTTATAAAGAGTTATAAAGCACAGTGCCTGGCACATAAAAGGCACTTAATAAAAGCTGTTTTAGGTGGTTTTATTATCCCCATTTTACAGATGAGGAAACTGAGCTTAAGAGAGGGTGAGTGACTTGCCTGGGGTCACACAGCTAGTATGTACCTGGGACAAGACTTGAATTGAAGTCTTCCTGACCCAGAGGCCATCCCTCTATCCACTGTTCCATGCTGCCTCCCCAGGAAGAGAAATAACGTCTTAAATTTCAATACCTCAGAGTGACAGATGTTCTGGGTTATCCCCTCAGTTCAGCTCTATGCAAGCCTCAGTTTACCAATCTGTAAAATGAGCTTGCATGTACTACCCACTGTGCCAGGTTGTGAGGAAAGTGCTTTGTAAACCTGAAGGTGCTACCTAAATGCAAGTGATTGTGTATGTGCATGTGTGTGTGTGTGTGTGTGTGTGTGTGTGTGTTTGAGTTACCCAGGGGTGGAGAAGGCAGTATTAAGAAGGAGAAGGAATCCTTCTTGCACTTTTTGTTCCTTATGCAAACCTTTGCAGATGGATATTGTATTCCATCAACCAAAATCTGAAGATGCACAGTAGTTAAAAAAAAAAAGGTAGGAATGAATGAGTGAGAGAAGGAATGAATAAATGAAAAAGATTTATTAGTCAATAACGAGGTTCCAAACTGAGGGTAAAACAACAAAATCAAGACAATCCCTAGGGGAGTGATCAGGGAAGGGAGTTTAGCTCTGGGGAATCACAAAGGTAATAAACAGAGGTCTAGAGAAGACATGATTAATTTTTTATTAATTTTGATTAATTTTTGTTAATGTTCCCAGAACAAGAAGTGAAAAATGGGTAGGGGGGAGGAGGGTATGCACATGACAGCCAGGCCAGGCCCGTGGCAAGAAGATGGCTAACATGGATAGTGTATGGCTGTGTGGGATTTGAAGCATGGCCCGGTTGGTCTGGGACTGTCAAAATATAATAACGAAATAACTAAACTTGGGTTAGGAATAAGGAAGAAAAATCCTTTTCTCTTACCCCTACCCCATTATGCATCTGCTCTCGCAGGTTGCACCCCCGCTTCCCGTCCGTCGAGAAGCCAAGGGCCCACCACCGCCACCTCCCAAGGCCCGCAAGTCCGGAGTCCTCTCATCGGAGCCAGGATCACAATAAAGGCCCTGCTCTTCCTCAGTACCTGTCTAGTATTTCGGGAGCTGCCCACGTGGACAGTCCGTCTCAAGACCCGTCCCCAAAAGGCAATGGCACCACTGTCCTTGTTTTCCATCCCCTCTCATCTGGGATGACCTTGAACCTGGATTGATTCTTTCGAAAGCTTCCCCTAAAGCCGTGTTCCAAGGCCATCTCACACCTTCTTCACTCACTTGCAGAATTGCAAAATTGATTACAGCCAGTACGTGATCGTTAAGCACCTACCTTCAGCCCACAGCCATTTGGGCCTCCAAAGAGTTTCCTGCCAACTAGTTATCCAGAGTGACCCTTGACTCCTTTCCCTGGCCATGAGAGGCATTTCTTGCTTCGCTTCTGAAAAGCAGCACTGGAGTCTGGGTTCCCTTCCTCATGGACATACCCCCTCCCATGTACCTAAACAATGAGATATCCACACATCAGGGCCATTTTCTGTAACCAAAGTAACAATAATTCATTAATATGTATGATGTGCCCTTTGAGAAAAGGGAATGAGTCCAAGGTAAGGGTGGGTGTACCACCTTTTGGCAATGATGTAAAAGGGGGATACCTGTTCAGGGAGGATTTGGCTAGAGGGCTGCTGAGATATCTCTAAAATCCCCTAATTCCGTGAGTTTGTGGGCAGCTTACAAGGAGCCACGTTGATCATGGCTGTGAATTGGAATGAAAAGATGGGTGGGGTTTCCCCACTCCAATAGCCAGAAGAACTCAAAGACTTTTAAATAGTTGAGATAATATTAAATTCTGATTATACCAAAAGCTAAAAGCAAAGAACTTCTACATGGAAAACCTTCCAGATGATCTGGTTACATCAAGGATCTTATCTGCTCTCCTGGGAGTCTGCATCCCTTACCTGACTGGTGGCCTTCAGTTCTGGGGATTCCGTCAAGTTAACAAACATCTATTAAACACTTTCTGTGTGCCAGGCATGGTGCCAAGTACTGGGAATACAAACACAATTAGAAAGACTGTCGCCGCCTTCCAGGAGCTTACGTTCTCATGGGGGAAGACAGCACTTCAAGTATAGATGCAGAGGAGAGAGAGCTTGGCCAGAATGGAGCCTGGAGAGGCAAGTTCCCTCCCTAGGTTCTTTATTCTATTGTAACTGCCTCTACTTTCTCACTTGTCACACGACCAGTCACACACAGTCCCATTGCATTACCTCCTCTGAGCTGGTGTGAAGTAGACTGTAGAGCCTAGGTGTGGATGTCACTGCCCCAGTGAGGCCGACTTCAGTCTCCTCCATCTCACTTTCCATGGAGTCTGAATGTCAGTCTCCTCCGTCCCCTTTCTATGACTCAGTGGCCCAATCATGCTTCTATATTCGGCAGGACTTTCCTTTTCCACACATTTGATTTTGCCTTATAAGATCTATAACAATTCCCCAAAGTGAGCCCCTTAACTCCTCCATGGAATTGAGAAATTTATAAGAAACTCCAGAGCCTACCCTAAAAATGTGTCTATTTTGGTCTGAGCCTGTGAAGTGGGGATCTCCTGTCCACACAGATCCACAACTGCCCTTCAGGATCATAGTCGTAGAGGTGCCTGGGGGTACTGAGGGTTAAGTGATTTGGCCCTGCTCGGTATGGGTCAGAAGCAGGGCTTGAACCCATCTTCCTGGCTTTGAGGCCAGGTCTCCATCCAGTCAGCTGCATTTCCTCTCTCCCTACATGTAGCAGGTGGCTCATAAATATTTGGAGGCTCTGACACTTTCTTAGCTGTGTGACCCTGGGCAAGTCACTTTGCACCAAGAACCATCATCCAACAAGACCGTTTCCAATAGGGCTGAGAAGGGGCATCAGAAGAGGCTCCATGAAGGGAGTGTACTTAAGTTGGACTTTTTAAGTTGATGAAGACTAAGTGTGCGTAGAGTGTTTAGATGGGGAGGTGTCCCGCCCATTCCGGGTTTTAGCAGAAAAAATGGAATGACTTTGAGCCCCCTGGAATTATCCCACGTACATGGGACTCCACCTGAAGTCATTGCCTTCCCGTGTAATTGGGTCTTTCTTAGACACAAGAGTTTTTAACCAGAAGTCCATGCACTTAGATGGGGGAAAAAATGATAATCATCATTTTCACTAAGCTCTAAAATTTAGCATTTCCTTCAGTTATGAAGATGGGTGACCAATATTATCCTGAGAAGGTGCCCCTAGGCTTCACCACACCGAGAAAGGGGTCCAGGAGATCAGAAAGGGTAAGAAGCCCTCCTTTAAAAGCAGAAAGAGTCAAGAAAGGGCCTCGGGCACAGAGATAGTGGAAAAAATTGGTGATTTGGTTTTTCCCCCTGCCTTCTTTTAGTATCATCATCCTTCATTCCCTCTCCCCTACCCCTGAAAGGAAATGAGCCTGGATGAGAAAACCAGAAAAGCAAGAAACTGACCCAGTCTCAAGCCCCCACCCCAGGAGACTGGTATTCGGGGGTGATAGACATCATGAAAAGACCCCTGCACTCGGAGGCCTCTCTTTGCCATTGTCTTTGTGACCTACCAGAGTCACTGCCCTTCCCAAACCTCAGCTTCCTCACCTGTAAAACAAGGGGGTTGGATGAGACGCAGACTTTCAGGAGGGCAGATGGACAATGCACGGTTGGCAGGAGGGGGTCTGGAGCTCTTGGTATTCCTTCCAGCCCCCAAAGTCCCCACACTTCAGTCTCTTACTTAAAGGTAGAGAACTGGTCCGTGCAGGAGGCCAAAGAGAAACTTGGACCACAGCCTTGTGAAACATTGAGGGTGCCCCCAGCTGTCTGGTGGGCTGACTGTGGTGCTCAGAGGACTGATGGATCTGTGGCCTTTCTGCCTGCATTTTATCTGGAAATCAAGTGTTTTCCATATTAATGGAAACTATGTTCTCTAACCCCCCCGCCCCTCTACCACACATGCTCGCACCACAACCCATTAAATGCATAGAATTCAGTGAAGATTGTGGAAAGCAGAAGAGGATTGTAAAGGAAGAGAGTTAGCTATGGGACCATATATTCTAATCATTAGCATGGAATGGAATTTCTGACATTAGGTGTCTATGACATTGGCAAAAAAAAAAGGGCAGCCCCCAACAATCACCCCGCTTCACAAGCTGCCAACATGGTCTGCCATGTCTAGAACAATCCAAACACGTCAATAACCAGGCCCTCCCACACTTTCGTCTGAGAGCTTACAAGGCTTGCCAGTCCATTCGTCGACTGTCTGGTCATGCTGTGCTAATCAGCATTGGCCGTGCCCGGATGTAATTTCCACTCTGTGGTGGAAGCATGTGTGAGCTCCAGTCAGCAGAAGGGCGAAGAGTGCTTTTCCTTTGCTATGGTGTGATGAGCCTGGAGTTCCAAGGCCCACACCGTTCTACCAGGCAACCCTAATTTTCAAGGTCCTGCCCTGTGAGGGTCGATTGAAGGAGCTAGGAAAGCTTGGGGAAGAGAAGGTTTGGTGGGGGGAGGGGTGCGAAAGATGCCTTTCTTCAAGGGTTTACTTGGCTGTTGCAGACAAGAACGAGTAGACTTTTGCTCCTCAGTTCCAGAGGGGAGAACTAGAGCCGTGGATACAAGTTGTTAAAGGGGTTTTGGGCTCGATTGAAGGAGATGTCCTGAAAATTCAAGCTGTCACCAGTGAAGTGCTCGGGTGGTTGTGGGATCTCCCTCATTGGGCATCATCAAGCCTTGGTTGGGTGACCATTTATCACGTGCACTTGAGTTGTAATGGGGAGTCCTGTGGGGCAGGGGTTGAATTAGGGAACTGGGGCCATCCCCCCAGCTCTGAGATTCTGTGTGACCACTGGGCGGCTTCCGGAAACCCATAGCTAGGGAAGATGCTTTGAGAAGGCTGGAAATTTTTGCTGAGATTTGCTGTTATTTATTTATTTTTAAATTAAACCTGGAATTGATTTTCTGAAGTGTTCTATGGCTTTGGTTGACTGGTAGCTTTCCTTTAGAGAAATGACGCCTTCCTGAGCTTTGTTCCTCGCCTTTTCCCAGGGTTGCTTCACTGGAAGGCATCTACTCACCTTGGATATCCCTGTGAAGCCATGGTTCATAGGCACATGCTCTCTGTCTCTGTCTCTGTCTCTCTTTTTTTTTCTTTTTCTTTTTTTTTTTTTTTAGGCAATTTGGGTTAAGTGACTTGCCCAGGGTCACACAGCTAGTAAGTGTCTGAGGCCAGATTTGAACTCAGGTCTTCCTGACTCCAGGCTCAAAATAGCCTGAGAACAAAGCCCATGGATGACTTTGTGTGGCTCCCTAGGAGTCTCAGGGGAGGGGATATTCTAAGAGATGAGATCCTGTCACTCAACTCCCCTGGGCCTCAGTTTCCTAATCTATAAAGTGAGGGGTTCAGACAAGATGGAGTCTAAAATCTCCTCCAGCTCAAAGTCGATGTTTTTGAGAACAATCCTTCCATTGTCATAACCTGCAGCACTGGCACCTGGGCTCAGTGGAAGGCTCACCTGGGCCACAGCCCAAGAAGAAGGAAATGTGTCCCAGGATGTGGTCAGCACCTCACAGTGTCCTGCCCTGGTGGCAAAGTCCTGACCACCCTACGCTAGTTACACACAAATCTGGCTCCCACTGCATCTTAGATCTTGGGGATTGTATAGGATTTCATGTAAAATCTGACCAAATACCTTCAGTAATGATTACTATTATTTTTCAAGCTACTCTAACTCCTTTATGTTATCTGATTTCTGTAAATTTGTATTGAACTTTTTTTTACATTGCTTAAATTTTCTCTTGTATTTTTCTCTTTCCTCCCACCAAAGGAGCTATCCTTTTTCACAAAAATGCCTGATCTTTTCAACAAAATCTTTCAGTAAAATCTTCACAAATCAGATAGTACCATGTAGCATTGCCCTGGGAGTTGGCAGGCCTGGCTTCTTGGCCAGGCCTGCCACAAATGCGCTGTCTCATGTTGCCTAAAATGTCTCTATTTGTAAAATGAAAGGGGCTGGCATTACATGATCTCTAACGACTCTTTTGATTTTAATATTCTATTGTTCTAAATGGATGCCTGATCCATTGGTAACTATTTCATCCATATGTACGTGTATATGTAAAGATATGTATGTGCATACATGTATGCATGTATTCACATGTGTACCCATATGTATAAACAGGTGTGGATCTGTATGTACATCAATATACATATATGTATATGTATTTATATATAGAATCCTTTTAGGTTGCAGATGTTTAGATTCGTAAAGATCTAAAGACGTATTATCAAAGCAGCCTGATACAAAGGGAAAGAGCTGGCGGAAAGACCTTGGGAGCATCCTTTCTGGGTGATGTTGGGCCAGTCCTGTAACCTCCTTGAGAACCCCAGACAACTCTAGTGCTGTGGGTAGGGGAGTAGGTGCTGATCTGCTTTGGGAGGGAATGTCTCATCTCGGTGGAACTCCCAATGGTAATGAAGTCACAAGACCATTGCGGGGGGCTAGGTATCTGAAATGGTTTCCACATTGGCAGAGGGAGAAAAATGTTGCTTCAATAATAATAATAATTCGCATTTCTCTGGCATTATAAAGTACTTTTCTCACAATAGTCCAGGTAGGGCCAATGTTATCCCCTTATTATCTCTAAACTGAGATTTAGGAAGGTATAAGGATTTGCTCAGGGTCATGAGGCAGAGGAAGCAATGGGCTTCTCATTTTTAAAGGGGTAAGGGGGGTTGGGCGGGGTGAGGCTAGATGATGCCTGAGGTTCCTCCATCTCTAAACCCTCCAATTCCAGATGTCGATCCAACCCGCTCTCCAGCGCCTCCTACAGCTTCTCAAGGGAATGAACATCTTTCTCTTGGATCAGTTGGACCACTCATTTCAAATGAAACCACTGTAGGCCAGCGCTCCCCTCTGAGGCCCAGGGTTATGGTGAGAGGCACTTTCCTGGGCTAGAGTCGGAGACCTGGGATGTTTCTCCACTGGCATTGCCAGCCGGCATTGCCAGCCTCCACTTGGGCGAAGGGAGCCCTCATCTTTGGGAATCCAGAATGTGACTTCTGGGATGGTAAATAAGGTACATAAACAAGTGGGTGCCATTTTCTTTTTCTTTTCTGAGAACTGTATTAACAATTGTACAATTTGTAAATAATGCAGTTTTTTTAAGTAAATGAATGAATAAATGTAGTTTTTGAGTGAATGACCAATGAAAACTGCGTTCCTCTCCATTCTGCTGAGCACATCATATATACTCATTCACTTTTGCCCTTTATCTGTTCTCATTAAAAGTGATGTCAACAAGCATTGATTAAGCACCCACTGTATATCTGGCACTGTGCTAAGGGCGGTGAATGTCTGTGTGCTCAACGCGCTCGTAGTCTAACGGGGAAAATGACAGGCAAATGACTGTACAAAGAAGCTACGTAAAAGGCTAACTGTGGATAGTCTCAGAGGGAAGGAGCTAGCATTAAGAAAGATCAGTTACAAAAGGGAGAATTTTAGGTGGGTGCCGGGAGGTGCCGAGTAGAGGAGAGAATTCAAGGCATGAGAAGATGGCCAGTCAGGAAATGGGGGGTCTTGTGTGAAGAACAGTCCATGACTACATTCCTGCAGGGTCCAAGGTCACTGGACTGCAGAGGCCATGGCAGTGAGGAAGGTGTAAGAAGACTGGCAAGGTATGGGAACCGGGTATGAAGGGCTTGGAAAGGCAAGCAGAATCTTGCTCTTGATCGCGGGAGTGATAGGAAGGCTCTGAAGTTGAGTGAACTGGGGACTGGCGAGGGGCTTGGTCAGACCAGTGCTTTCAGTAGATACAGCTGAGTGGGGGATGGGCTGGAGAAGGGGATGGGCTGGGGGGGGGGGGCTTGAAGCAGTTAGACCAATCTGCAGCTTGTGGCAATAGGAAACTCAGCTGACCCAACACAAGTCACTCATTCTCCCTTCTCTACAGAATGAGAGGTTTGGACTAGGGGCCCCTCAGGCTAGTCCAGGGGGGCCGGGAGCACTGAGAAAGATGATGTAATGAGAGGGAACTGTAATATTTTACACTATTTTTACCTATAAACAGAAGCTGGTGTGGACATTATGGAGTTGGGGGAAGCAGTGGGAAATAACCAGTCCATCTTAGAATCTATGATCCAGCTGTCTTTATCACAGGGAAGCTGTATATGATCTGACACGCAACTCAGATTTTGTGAGTAGATTTTTCAAAAGATTCAAAAATTAGGTAGGATTTCACAGAAAAAAAAAGGAAGTTTTTTTTGTTGTTGTTTAGTCATTTTTCAGTCATGTCCAACTCTTTGTGAGTTCTTTTGGGGTTTTCTTGGCTGAAATACTGGAGTAGTTTCCCATTTCTTTCTCCATGTCATTTTACAGATGAAGAAATTGAGGCAAACTGGGTTAAGAGACTTACCCAAATATCTGAGGTCAGATTTGAACTCAAGCTCCAGGCTCAGCACTATATCCACTGTGCCATCTACTTGCCCCCGAGGGAGTTGTCTAAAGAGACCAATATGGATGCAAAGACAACTCATCAACCAACTTAGATTTTAGAAATTTTGACCAGGACCAACATTTCCCCTGACTTCTAAAATGGCCATCTGGAGAGCAGTACCTGCGCGTGACACCAGATGGCGCTCCATCTCGCTTTCACTGCATTCCTCAACAACTCCTAGGTTCTAGCGTTGAGCTGGATAACCAGTGGGCCCTCTCAGCCCCAGTCCCCTGTGGTAACTCCTCCTGGGTTTCTGTCTAGCTTTTTCAATTTAAATGTGTATGATTTAATCCCATCATAATTAATCACTAAATTAGCTGATGCTCCCAGCCCACGGAGAGTCCAATTTCCCCACTTCACGTGTTCAGAAAAGATTACTCATACACATGTAGATTAAATGGATGCTTTGTCAAAAGGGGGAAAAGAAATGAAAGCTATTGGGTTCAAGGTTCCCAAGTGGTGGCAAACCTGCCCCTGCCTGAGGACGCCTGGGCCTTGCTGTTCTTACAGGCCCCCTAAGGCTTCTGGGTCTTTCCATTGGCTCTGCAGCTGGACTCTTCTATACATTGTCTACTCCAGTGAGAGGGCCGCTACGCGGCACCATGGGGCATTGAGTGCTGGGCCTGGAAGCAAGAAGACTCATCTTCCTGAGCTCAAATCCGGCCTCAGACGCTTACTAGCTGTGTGACCCTGGGCAAGTCACTTCACCCTGCTTGCCTCAGTTTCCTCATCTGTAAAATTAACTGGAGAAGGAAATGGCAAACCACTTTGCCAAGAAAATCCCAAATGGGGTCACAAAGAGTCAGATGCACCTGAAAAGACAGGATAATAATAGCAACAAATTAGACTATGAGTTCCTTGAGAGTAAACATTGTCTTGACTATACTGGTAGAGGATCACACCCTCCTCACCCCGCCTCACCCCCATCTGAAACGCTTTGGTCTTAAAAAGTAAAGGGTTCATGGTATCCTCTGTCTCAGCTCATCACAAGGTCTGGCTGATAGGACCACAGATCGTCTACACTACATGCTCCTAAAGGATATCTTACAGGTGAGGATTAGTCTCAGTGGATCCGGCCTCAAGTGCCTCAGGGATGTTTCTTAGATGTCACCTAGTATCCCTCCAGACCCAAGGGTAAGGTGGGGGGTGGGATGGAACAGTTAAATCAAAAATGGAACCACCCTCCAAATGCATTCTGCAAGTGGGACCCCCCAGAAGAATAACAGATGAGTCTACTGAGAGAAGTTTCTAGTTGTTGAGAGAAACACACAAAATTCTTTCAGCCTGTTGAGTCCTTCTGTAACTCAACATATGTGACTCCTGTTACTCTGTTCACTAAAGGAGCCCGTCCCCACCCTCTCTCCCACTCTGGGACCTGGAGATACAGACTATGTGTGGAATAACCAAAGGTTAGTTATGGCTCACTGGGGCTGAGCAACGGGTGCCATATGCAAGAGTTGGCTATGAAAAA